ACAACTACTCATTTGCCGCCATATACCATACAAAATATCAGTCCCTTATAAAGACGAGACCAGACTAGTGGTTTTTAATGGACAATGGATACAGGTAGTTGAAAGTCAAAGCAAAAAGTACTATATCATTATAATGTTTACACATTCTCTACAATGCCTACTAGTACACAATGAGAGATAAAAGAAAATATTAAACAATTTGTACAAGTATTTACACCTACTTAAGTTTTAGTTTATCTTGGTCCATAAGAAAATGAATACGAATGAATGAATAATTTCTGGATAAAAATTTCCAGTTCAGCCAGTAATTCATTTAACAAAATAATACATAAAATTTTAAAATTTTTATTCAACCTCTTTGCATAGTTATCACCTTTTTTTTAAGGAGGGAAAAACATCGAATGACTTGTCCCGCCTGGGTGAGGCGGGAGGGAGTGTCAGACTCTTACTGACTAAAAACCACCCCGTTCCTTCTCCTGCATGTCGAGCCGGAGCCCCGGTTACCCGTTAGGTTCTCCTTAACGTTATACCATGATAATAAAAAACTAAATTGTCAATAATCCATTTGAAACTCACTTTTCAAAAATATGTCAGATAACAGAGGAAGGTACATTTAGTATTGTAAATTTGTTTACGTCTGTTTGTTTTGTTAGAAATTGACGTCACTTTTTTATTGAGTTTAGATAGTAGAAAGGATCGGAAGTAGCAAAGGCGATATTTTGTTTCTTTCTAACTCACCACTTCCCTAAAAGAGGGGCTGAAAGTTTGTATAGAACATTTCGTTATTTTCAAGAAATCTATCTAATCTATTAGTATCATATTTGTGACCAGGAAAACATCGGGTATTATTTATTTTTTATTTTTTACTAGTGACCCGCCCCGGCTTCGCACGGGTGCAATATGCATGTATTATACATATAAACCTTCCTTAAGAATCACTCTATCTATTAAAAAAAACCGCATCAAAATCCGTTGCGTAGTTTTAAAGATCTAAGCATACATACGGACATACAGCGAAAGCGACTTTGTTTTATACTATGTATTGATAAACCTGCCCTCAATATTTTAAAAGAGCGCGAGCGAAACCGTGGGCAGAAGCTAGTCCATGAATAAAATGTATTCAGTTATTTGAATTCGTATTTTTTCTTTAAAATCTCTGAGTTTTTTGGTAGTATTTTCACACATCGGGTTCCATTATCTAAATTTTCACAAGGTTCTCTTTTTCTGTTTTATTGAATATAGCCTATATTCAGCATCGACAATGTAGGATTCCACTGGTAAAAGAATTTTTCAAATCGGCCCGGTAGTTTCGGAGGAGATTCCATTCAAACAAACAAACAAAAAAACAAATTTTTCCTCTTTATACACTAACTACACTACACTAACCGAGTCTAATATTTTTTCATTACCGAACTTACGGACTAATTAGATTTTTAATTTTCATACCCAGTCATCATCCCAATTGTAAAGAATTGATCATAATAGTCAGATCGATCTGTCGTCAGGTAGCAGTAAAATTAAAATTACTGTCGACCCAAATAAACAAACAAACAGTCCAAGCTAAATTAAATCATTTAAAATGTAATTTTTGTGATCTTCATAAAATTATTTTTAATATTTGTAATATTAGCCATTTGTAATATTAGTTTCAAAAGTTTGTTGTTAATTTATTATTGTTAAATGGCTACCTTTCATTTATTAAATGATATTTAGAAAAAGGTGTTACTGGTCAAGGTCGTAAAGGTTTAATTCCCTGAATCGGTAAAGTGCTGCTGGGTTTTTTGATATTAAAATTCCCAATTATAAATAACCGCATAATCTGCAACTACAGTCATAACAATTATAGGTTTTTACATACAGACATAACCTCAAGCCTGTCTCTCATGGGAGTATACAGAAGCCATATAACGCTAAATACTACGATTTTTACATACCTCTTTCAGTTCTTCAGTCATCAGTCTTTTCATACATGCTCGTCGGATTTTTTTAAGGGGAGAAAATCATCGAATGACTGCTCCTGCCTAGGTGAGGCGGGAGGGAGTGTCAGACTCTTACTGACTAAAAACCACCCCGTTCCTTCTCCTGCACGTCGAACCGGAGCCTTGTTAATCCGTTCGGTTCTCCGCAACATGCTCGTCGGTTAGGGTTACTTATAACTTAAGTTTTTACATTAATAAGGAATTTATACTACAACTAGCATCTGTTAGCGACTTTGCTCGCGTTTACAGGGGTGAAAAGTAGTCTAAGTGTTACTCCAGATCATAATCTACCTCTGTTCCAAATTTCATTCTATCTTGACGTGACTGAGTAAGGTGCCCAATTTGCCCCGGTCCTCTTCCCCAATCTCCCCAATCCCTGAATCCCCAACGATCCTCAAACTCCTAATCCCCAAAAGGCCGGTAATGCACTTGTAACGCGTTGGCGTTTCGAGTGTCCATGGGCGGCGCCGATTGCTTACCTATAAAAAAAAAATGTACGAAGCTAATTTCAACCATCGACCGTACAGTTACAGCGTAAAGTCCACTGAACATTCGACAAACTTATATTTGCGTTTGATACAGTAACTGTGTCTAGGGATCGAGCCGTTAAAAAGGTACCTTGTGTTGTGCCCAGGATATTTAAGTACAATCATACCAAGTTTCATTGTAATCACACCGGTAGTTTTTGCGTGATACGTGAACATACAGTCAGACAAAAACCTTCATAATCACATTTTTGGGTGATGTATCTAGTAACACACCCTACTATTTATTTTTTAGATATTTGATGTACAGAATTTTCACTTTTACAGTTTTATTATGTGTAAAAATAGATATGTATCTATATCTATACTATTATTATAAAGAGGAAAGATTTGTACCTATTTTTGTATGTTTGTATGTTTGTAATGAATAGGATCAAAAAGTACTGGGCCGATTTAAAAAATTCTTTCACCAGTTGAATGCTACATTCTTCCAATTTGACATAGGCTACATTTCGTTTTGATAAAAATTAGGGATCCTTGGTAAAAGGGCATTGACTAAAATTGGTGCCTTTCTTTTTTCTGGCGGCAGTCGATGATTTATGGAAAATATTATCTAGAATGACATTACAAACGAAATTGTGTATGGGCTCATATATGGAAATCTCAGTCTGGACTGAGTTATGAGCGTCGAAAAGAGCTGAAGTCAAACATTTTACTTTGGTTTTTTTATTCAAATTATTGATATTTTTGTCACAATTCCTAATTTCAAATTGCGCGCCACTGTACGCCGGGCACAGGAGCACCATATTACACCATAATATATCCATATTGCCAGGCACTAATTTTTATTTGCTATTTCCTCTCAGTCGATAATTTGTGGGATGCTTCTAGGAGTTGTGTCATGAAGCTCCATGAGCGTCAGCTGAGGTACCAGTGGTGGGTTGAGTAGTGGCAGCCATCCAAAAATCTAAAAGTCTTTTTTTGCCCTTGACTCCTGGTGGTAGACTCATCTACTTTATAGTTAGCATAATATTTTCAAGAAAGGAAACCGTCGACTTTGTAAAGTGATGGACTATACGTCAGATGAGCGCATAATTTTTTCATACCTCTATAATGTGATCAGTCGAAATATAATCCACCACTTGGTGACTGAATGACGATATCTTTGTACAGAATCTTATGCTAGATATAGATTATTAACTGTATTATAAGTATTATCTGTAATTAGATTAGTTACTAATCGGAAGTAAGTCGGGAGAAGTAGACAGAAAAATGATTTTCGTGTATCCGCTACCGACGCCTCAGTTGACGAACATAGCATTTTATGATAAGGCTCAGTAAAGTATTTTGCGGGTTTTCGACTGAGAGGAAATTGATCATGAAAATCTGTCATAGGCCTTAAACCGTATACATATGAAGTGAATACGCTAGCCAATCAAGCGAAATGTTTTTTTTTTATTTCAGCAGTAACCAGTTATGGTTCACTTTGTTCTGATTCCTTGGCCATATAACAAAAAAAAAAAAAAAAATAAGCCCACAACAAGCTTTACTATATTCCTTGAAATCGTTTATAAACATTAATTACAAAATATTTCTGACAAGTAAATGAAGAAATATGTGTTGTGTACGGTCACCATCAACAAAATAACAGGAATAAAATAGGTAAACCACTATTTTCACATCTTTGAACTGACTTAACTCGGTTCGGACTGTGTTTTTGATATAAGACCCCATACATTTTTTTGTTTGTAATATTATTCTGCATCAGTTTATCCACATTTGATCAACTGCCGCGAAAAAATTAAAAGGCACCACGCTCCATACAAATTTGGTCATTGTCATTTGAACAATGTAACCGAAGGTGTAGAAAAATGAGTCTTAAAATGTCTTTCGTCAAATGCGCTGCCGAAACTATTAGCGATAGAACAAAATAATGTACAACAATATTGAAGAACATCATAATGTTTACAAAAAACTCCGCGGTAGCTTATGTCCAACTATTGTAGTTATGTCATTACAACAATCCAAATTTTCAAAAATAAATAATTTGTCTACCCCATGCGAAGCCGGGACAGGCTGCTAGTATAATATATATTTATAGATATAGATTTGCAATGACATGAAATTATTGTATAATATTTATAAAATGTAACAGTAATGTTCTTCAATTAGAAGTGTTTACACCAAAAGAATCCTATTGTCTTTTTATTTTCCTTTCACATTGTTGAGTCATCGTTTATCTCTATAATGTTATTGTTTGTTTAGTCACTCGATTCGATAAAGAAACAACCAACTGCAGTGACATTAAACACTGACCGCAATACCTTATTAACAAAAACAAAATAAAACGGACAAATTAAAAAAAGAAACATAAGCGAAAAAAGTTCGTAACTAATTACCCCAACCAATGTCACTCGTTACAACTTTACTCTCGAAATACAAACATAAATAACCGCGTAACTAATATACTAACAAGCGTACAACTGCTAAGGACAGTTGTCGCACTCCCACTTACTTAACATAGCTCGAACGTTAACCATTGTATCGCGAGTGGTTGCACTGTACACACGGATGAAATCGCGAGTGTAGTGAAGTGTTAAAAATGTCAAACACAGTCTGGACTCCGCCGAACATTGGCCAAATCTGCCCCGAGCAGCAGGCTCCTTTAACGCAATGTTCAACAACAGGATTCGTGTTTCTCTCCTTACTAACTCAACTCTACAGTCACTCGAGGGATGAATCTAAGAACGAATATCCAGAATGGCAAGTACCATCATTTCGGGATACAAAACCTATATCGCCAGAATTTGAAGCAGTGATCAGTCAGTTCCCGGAACCTACACTTCCACCATTAAGTTCGTCAATACAAGACACATTTTTTACAAATAAATTTCAAAATACGTTTAAATCACCAATGAGAAATTGGGAGAAAGTGACCAGAGTCCACAGTCGCGGTCCTGGTGGTAGTCGAGGATTATCAGTAACATCTTACTTCCCGATATTCGATTTCGAAAAATTCAACAAAAAAACTGATAGCGAAGAAAGTGAAGAATTCAAACGCGACCGTGAACGGTACGCATTTGAAAATAGTGCGAAGAAGGAAGACTTGGATCTGGCGTTTGATAATCCATTTTCGAAGTATCACAGGGACGCTGACTTTGATTTTATGAAGGAGATCTTTACGGATTCTGAGCTTGAGACATCGAAGAGTGATAAAATTGAAATAAGGAAAATGAAGAAGATCGGTTCGAAGAAACGTCGAAAAAGGCAGACTTCGGATCAATATGACTTCATAGTAGTCGGGGCTGGATCAGCTGGATGTGTGATAGCTAACCGTCTCTCTGAAGTAAAACAATGGAAGGTAAGTCAGATATTCAACTTTACTAATCATATTATATTTTTGTACCTGTTACTGATTGAATGATAATTTATTTATTTAGAAAATATACATCACTACATGGTATAAAACTAAGTCGCTATCCGCCGTCTGTCTGTCCCTATGTTTGCTTAGATCTTTAAAACATGAATAAAAGAATACAACGGATTTTGATGCGATTTTTTTTTAATAGATAGAGTGATTCTTAAGAAAGGTTTATATGTATAATACATGCATATTGCACCCATGCGAAGCCGGGGCGGGTCGCTAGTAATATATAACATTACAACTTACGCCATTAGGTTATACTGTTAATTTTATATACATACTATTATTTACTTTTTAAGGGTCAAAGTTTGGCCACTACCTTGCATTTTGGCATCCCATGTCATGATCCGTATTGTACCTCTATAAAGAATTTTAATACAAAATACGCAATTACGAAATATCTAAAACTATAACAATGATAATAATTATACCAATAAAATATTGATTGCATACAAAAAACTCGTATTTTACGGCCTACTAACGATTTCGCACAAAAACTTGTATGAACTTGACCGGGCGCATTGCGTTGGTTTGACCTTGCGTCAGTGGAGCAATCGCATAAAAGTTTACAGTCGTTAAAATGTACGTTTCACTTTCAGAAATCGATCACCTATATTGTTATGAATGAAATTAATTTAAGTGACCATATAAAAGACTGCCTCGTTGGCCGAGTGGTCGTAAGTGCGACTGCCAGGCAAGGGGTCTCGGGTTCGATTCCCGGGTCGGGCATAGTATTACTGGGTTTCAAAAAAAATCTCAGTAGAAGCCCGGGGTCTGGAATTGTGCCCGGTATATGGTAATAGGCCCACCACCTATTACATTGGACTCATAACATAAATAGTGAAAAGTGGGTGTTATATCTGTGTGCACCTCTTTTATCCCCGAAGGGGTAGACAAAGATGCACACAGAAGTGACGAGACCGAGACCCCTTGCCCAGTTGCACTTGCGACCAATCGGTCAGCGAGGCAGCCTAATGTATCAATAAATTGATATTTTTATTTAATTTATATGAGATGATTCTCACCGAAACATTAAGACTCATTTCGACCTAGACTCCAAGTTGTGTGAGACTCATTATACATTATATCATATCATAGGTGTGTATGTGGGATACATACACACCTATGAGACTGGGGTAGATAGAACAAAAATGCTAAAGAAGACGATACTGATATACCTATTTCGCTTCATCTACATTCACCAATCTCTTCATGAGTGGCCGTCAGTTAGGCCTATGAATTTGGTTTTGATCTATACTTTTTTAACTTTACTATATAATAATGCCGAAGAGTTTGTTTTTTTGAAGGCGTTAATCTCCGGAACTACTCATCCGATTTGAATAATTCTTTTTGTGCTGGATAGTGTATTTATCGTGGAAGGATATAGGCCATAAAACATTACCCTATGACCAATAGGAGCCAAGTAATGAGTGAAAACGCGAGACAGTAGCTAGTCTATATAAATAAAAATGAAACCCGTTTCCCGTTGTCACGCCATAACTTGAGAACGGCTAGACCGATTCGGCTGAATTTGTTTTTTTTTTTTGTTGTGTTTATTATTGTGTAGGAGAAGGTTCTAGTGACAGAAAAAAGTCACGAAATTCCAACGGGAACGGGAAAAAACGAGATTGCGCATACGAAGCCGCGGGCAGAAGCTTGTATATAATAAAATATGACGATATATAAATATGTGATATTTCTCACATCTGGTCTAAAATAAATAGGCTTTATAATGATGTTGAAGAAACATTATTGTTTAATTAAACTTTAGTTAAAATAATAAACAACCATGTCATGTATGTTTTGAAAGAGAGGTATAGATGCACGCAGTAGATCTTAACACACCCGTTTCCGCGGTTTAATTAGGGGTCACATATAGCGAAAATGTTAAGTCAAATTTCAGACTTAATGCTATTATTGACAGTCTAGTTTATGTTGCTTGGCGTTGCAAAGTCAAATCATTTATTTCAATTAAACCATAATTTGGTACTTTTGAAACGTCAACAAACCATCATCATCATCATCAGCTTATAGATGCTCAATGCGGATTGGCGATTTTAAACTTGTAATTAGAAATTATAAGACCAGGTTTCCTCACGATGTTTTCCTTCACCGTTGGTCAGTGGTGTCTAAATAATCTTTGAAAGTACATATAACTCGGAAAAAGTCACATTGGTACTTCCCGTTGGTAGGTTTCGAACCCGCTCCCTCGTGCATGAGAAGCAGGCGTCTTCAACCTCTGGGCCACCACGACATCTTTGACAACAAATAAATAATAGTATGTCAGTCAGTCCGTCAGTGAAGCTAGCTAACTAATTATGTATATTATCTGCCTTCATTTCTATTGACTTTCCAATAAGGAGGTTTTCAAGCCGCTGTTTTCTCAAGTCGGTGCCACAAACACATAACAAAATTTACTGAACGATCTACGTTTTCACGAATAGTTTTGTTTAGGACTTCGGGCATCGACTTTTTAACTTTCAGTAAATGTTGTATATAGGTACTTAGTTTTTTTTATGGCATAAGCCGGTAAACGATCAGACGTATCACCTGGATGGTAAGCAATCGGCGTCGCCCATGGAAACTTGGAACACTAGAGGCATTACAAGTGCGTTACCGGCTTCTATGGGATTAAGAGTTTGAGAATCATTGGGGATTCAGGGATTGGGGAGATTGAGGAAGGGAAGGGGATTTGGGCCTCCGGTAACCTCACTCACACGACGAAATACAACACAAGCGTTGCGTCACGTCGGTTTTCTATGAGACTGTGGTATCACTCCGGTCGAGCCGGCCCATTCGTGCCGAAGCATGGCTCTCCCACACTTGTATATCACAGTACAATGAATAATAATATGTTATTAGTTTTTGAAGTCCGTTTTTTTAAATGTAGTTTTGTTTCATTACAGAAAAAGTGTACAAATATTTTACACGAAACATTTAGTTTTCGTAATATCATAAATAGATGCGAATGATTACAATACCAATCATTCTTTTCAATAAAACAATTGATGCTACTTCAAGGAATGTTGTGATCAGAATCGGAAAACCTTTGTCACACGCATTTAATAATTGCAATGAAACAATCCATTTACTCATATATTTACATTCTATTACATAATTCTGGTACAAAGGTGTGAAAAAATGTCTGAACATAAATTTCTCGTTTCTTTGAAAAACAATAAAATGTTTTCTATTTTCTATATATGTATTTTTACATTTTTATACATATTCTTGGCTGCCTCATTGGCCGAGTGGTCGCAAGTGCGACAAGTATTACTGATTTTGTTTAAAAGAAAATTTGTCAGTAGTAGCACGGAGTGTCGAATTGTGCCCGGTATATGGCAATAGGCTCACCTCCTATTACAAGGGACTCATAACATAAATAGTGATAAGTAGGTGTTATATAGTGGCAATAAGTGCCGTAATGTGCATCTCTGCCTGCTTAATGCTTCGGGGACAAAAGGCGTTATATATTTTCTTTTAATGCACATTTGGCCCTGTGACTAAATCGTCTGATGAGCAATGCGCCGCTGTTTTAATTGCAATGTTAAGAAAAAATGCTAATTTTTCTAATTGATGCTACCATACATACATATGTATAAGGGTTTTTCTTATATTTCTGTAAATAGTAGTGTTATTATCTAATTTAATATGTTGATATATTCTACCGAAAATTAGTTCATACAATAGTAGTCTCCAAACATCGGAAATAAGGTCTATAATGAAGTGAGTCGAGAGCGATCATCGGTGACCGCTTGACGATTGAGCAGTTGCTAAATGCTAAAAATCTAAAAACAGGTCTGAGAAATGATTGGTTCTATCGTTATCACGTTGTACAGAGCACAACGATAAAAATATGTATGTTGATAGAAAATTCTAATATTGTCTATAGCAAAATACTTGCAGCAATTGTAACGTCACGCTCAAAAATTCAATACTACGCTATGCAATAGATTGTGTCTTGCGTTTGAGAATTTATTGCCAAACCAATAGAAGATAGCATTATCTGAAGATAATATAGAATACTTGAAAGTATTCTATGTAATTATGACATTTATACTATTATTTATTGTTCTGTATTTCATTTAATAGTTGGTCGTTTACTTATATCCGATAAGTCACAGATTGACGGCAGTTTCAAATACACTTTGTCTATGACTAAAAAATTACATATAAAGACGATACCTGACGGGTAAAAATCATCCAATGATTTCTCCTGCCTTGGGTTCGGGGAGAGGCAGTGTCAAGCTTTTACTGACTTAAAACCACCTCTTCCCTAATAGTACTCTTCGAGCCTGGGCTCCGGCAACCCGTTAGGCTTTCTGCGGCTCTGTATCGAGCACCCCTACTGGGCCTCATCTCAGGTGGATATGGCAGATACCTAGCAGCAGTGTTTTCTGATAAACCTGAGCCTTTTAAGTTGCGAACTGTATTGGGATGTAGAGGAGGTCCAGAGTAATATTATCCAAAGACAAATATTGCAAGTACCTAAATGTAATAAAGGGGCTTCGCGAAGCGCGAGCAGCTAACTGCCCATAGTGTGACGACGGCGTCAAAAAAAATTAAGGCAGTCTATATGGTAGACTATATCTTGCCTAGGACGCTCTCTAGGTCATAGTCCGCCTTTGATGAGGCCTATAGTTCAGTAATATACTGTCACAGACTGCTGACGATGATGAATTTTTGTTGTGGATGTTCGAAAAATTTTTAAAATAGTACTAGGTAGTAGTAATAGGTATGTACATTTAAACTATAGGGTTTACCTGTTAAACCCTACCTATATACCTGTATACGAAATGTACTGGTACATAAAATTGACTGACACATTGGTTGTTTCGAAGTCCGTTTAAATCCGACAGTGATCCACGAATTATTGTTTTGGGTTCAATTCTTTGTGTTTATAAAATCCTATTGTTACCGCTATTACAACCTCTTGT